GTCGGAGGGTCAATTGTCGGGGGGTCAATTGTCGGAGGGTCAATTGTCGTACTAAACCTTAGATTTCGCGACAATTGACCCCAGTGTAATTACATAGGGGGTCAATTGTCGGGGGGTCAATTGTCGGGGGGTCAATTGTCGCGGTACCGTAATGAATAGATGGAAAGTGGCTTGTATCTGATTTACAATAAGAAGTATAATTCATGCAGTCAGGTATTTGAAACCGTGTTACTATTTCAACGGTGACTGGCGGCCACTTTCTGTCGCAATTTTGGCCGCGACAGAAATCCCGGATTTTGGCACATTGAGACAAATTTGGGACAGAAATTGGAGGCAATAGGTATGCCAGGGCTGACTTGTAATCGATCTGGCATGGTAGGGAGGGTACCCGGTCTGTTGGCTTAACTGGACGCTTGGCCTAACTTGACTAGGTAGTGCGCCATCGACAGTAAGCCGCGCGTGCCGACTGTAGGATGGTTTTTTAGCGCTAATTTCGGCCAGCACAATTTTCTTCAAACAAATAGATATTGAGTATCCTTCCCGAGCTCCAATTGCAACAAATATTGGTAGGCTTACTTAAAGACTTACAAGGAAAGTGTCCGAAAAATTTAAAGCATATCCAACCATCAGACATTATGTTACAGCTAAAAGTAGCGTATTTTGCCCCATTTTTATCACAATATCAACTCCGATATCCACCAAATTTTTCGGACAGTTGTGAAAGCCCTATTGGAAGGTCGTCGCCAATTTCCAGAATGATCTCATTTAAGGAACTGAAGATAAATCCGAATAATACGACAAAAATGGTCAAATTTGGACGAATTTGGTCAAATTACGCGACTTTTACAGCTACTTTTGCTCCAAAAGCCGCGCACCATCAAATATGGCACCTAGGCGAAACTCACTGATCTTTCCAAAAAGGTATGACAAATTTAGTATTGGGGAAATTCTCACAATCTCTAGAAAACAGTGGTACAAAAATTTTTAAAATCCGAGCAAGTTTATTTTTATCGTGCACCTCCTAACTTGACTAATGGCCTAACAAGTAATAGTATACTGAACAAACGGACGGATGGCCTATTCCTAACTTAAGGCAGATTTTAGGCCGATAGTCTACTTTAGGTCACCTGGCCTAACTGTACTGAGTGATGTGACCCGTATGTGCACTGTATTGCTCTTAACATGAGCTGACAGAGCATGCTATCCGAGCTCGATGACATGGACCAAATTAATTAGTCAAGTACATATTATATAAATATATAGCCGTTGAGGAAAGGGTCCTTTTGGATCCAGCGCAGCGTCCAGGAATTGGTGATCCCCCTGAAAACAGTTGATTCCCTTGTGTATGTGTGAGCTAACGAGCTCTGTAATGGATGAGAGATATAGGCATGGATCACTTCAGCATGGCCACTTACTCGTCGAAGCACGTCATCGGGCTCATATAGCATACTTTGTCAGCTCATGGTGAGTAAAACGGTGCACGTACGCGGGTCTGATCATCACACTGTAGCCCGTCAGTCCAGTAAGGCCAAGCGACTTAAGGTGGACTGTTGGACTTGGCCTGTTAAACTTCAATTTAAAGTAGTATTAGAGCCCAAACGGTCGCCTGTCTTAACTGGTCTTATGGCCTAATTCATGGTTTTAGGCGCTAGGCCAGTTAGGCAAAGAGACCTAAAATCCTTCAAAACTGGCTGGAAAGGTTAGTTCATATGCCACCTATCATACCAAAGCAAATCGAACTCAGTTTATAAACAAAATAAAGGATATCGGGCCTAAAAAATTGATAATTTTTTAAGTGGAAGTGAAATTGACAACAAAATACGTGGCATTATTTGCGCGACGCAAAGTTTCAAAACTCCCATTCTAACGAGAGTTGAACTGTCGTAGCCAGCTATCTTAGCTAGCTCAGTTTTTTAAGACAGCTAGCTACGACAGCTGGCGCGCAGCAACCCTCATTTCTAGCTGTTTTAGAAAGTGCGTCCTAAGACAGCTAGAGCGCGCTAGCCGTCTTAGAATTTTTGTAGGGTCCTGAACAGTGTCCTCCCACTTTTCAGCATCTTTCTCGTATGACCTGAAATAAAGAAGATCTAGTAATAAGATTAAATAAACACTTTCAAGGAGTATTAGTGGATAAGTCAAAATTTGATATAGTCTGTGAAAATGTTCATGTTCGCTAATTTGACTGATAGTGATAAGAACTTCAAAACAGTGGCATTTATTGTGAGTGGCCCGTTTCTAACCTCCAAAATTCGTACTCCCCTGGTTCGCTGCTACAAATCAATTCGATCAGAACAAGCCTGATCGAATCCAGCATCAAAAAGTTTTCTTGATCTAGTTTTAACCGATAAACCCCATCTTATCACAGTGCTGGCAAGCACGACCGTTGCATTTATTGTGGGTATACTATGTTCCCCATTTACTATTATACCCCCTTTACTATTATACCCCCTTTACTATTATACCCCCTTTACTATTATACCCCCTTTGGTACACGTTACAAGCCTCTTTTGTGCACGCGAAGAGTGCACTCCGGCCGGAAGCGGCGGCCGAAGCGGCGGCCTCCGGCAGGAGTTTTCCAGGCATTAAGACTCATCGGAAGTCGTTCAGCAGATTTATTTTTAGTTCAAAACATTCTAATTTGATGTCAAAGATGACAGGAATAAAAAATAGTTATGTTGAGATTTTAAAGAAATTTGCATAAAATACTCGCCAGCAGTGTTATACGAAATTCGGTAAAAAACCCAAAATCGCCATATTCAGGTGCCTTAAAAACCATGTTAAAATTGAGTTAGAGATCTGAAATTTTTCAGGGCGTCTAGACGTTGACCAAATCGACTGCAAAAAAAGTTTCAGGTTTCAGGAGCATCGGGAAATGGGTTTTCTAGAACCCCTGTTTTACGATAGATTGTCGTGATACATATATAGTGAGGTAGAATACAAAATCTGTGATTTGTCGATCCTCTCCTGGAATATTCACGACATTAATCACCAAACCCTTGGGAAGAAAACGGATCAAAATGAATTCACCAGAACTCTAACCAGCAGTTTAATTTTCTGCCTCCAAGAAACAAAAGGGAATGTCGAGCTTCCCCAGTATAAATGTTTTAACAAACTAAGGTCTGACTCACGATCAGGCGGTCTCTGTATCGGTGTTCACAGATCTATTAGTGAATTTGTGAGGCCTATTATGTGTGAATCACAAGACATCTTGGCTGTAAATATCTCAACTACAGCTACTGGGCTCAGCAAGGACCTAATGCTTATAAATGTGTATGACTCTCCTCCCAACTCATCTTACAAAATAAAAAAGCTCGCCTTGGGCTCGGATGTAGACACAATGGGGCATACTCTTGAATTCATTGCGTCACTTAAGACCAAAGCGATACTTCTAGTTGGGGACTTCAACGCAAGAACAGGTAACCTTAACGCAGATGAAGCGGTTCAACCCTGCAATGAGGAATTCACAACAGGTCAAATCGAGTCCTACCCTTCTTACCACAAACAACGAGCAAGCAGGGACCCTGTCATCAATGACCGGGGTAAAAAATTCCTAGACTTAATTCAGAGCTGTAATATGTCTATCCTAAATGGATCCACTCTAGGTGACATATTTGGCGAGTCGACGTCACACCAATACAATGGAACTAGTATTGTGGACTATATGGCATTATCAAACGACACACGACATGTAATCAAACATTTCAAAGTCCTTGAGCTCTCCGACCTATCAGACCATCGGCCGCTGCTGTGCTCTTTGAAATCAACTCAGAAAATAATAGACTCAGAATCAGCTCTCAACCTTTACGATGATGTACAAGAAAATGTGCAGTGGAATGGTGAGCAATCAGCAAAAGAATACAAAGCAAGGCTCCTTAAGCTAAGTACGCTTAAAACTATCTCTGACCTTGTTGACGAAGTATGTCATTCTGAAGAAGACGTCCACAGTCTTAACCTTAGATTAACCAGACTCCTTGTGGACATCAACAAAGATGTAGAGGGTCCCCGAAAAAATCATATCACCAAGAAACGCAAGCCAAGAATTCAGGCCAAAAATCGCTGGTTCGATGCAAAATGCATTATACTGAAACGAGAAGTCAACAAGCTTGCCAGAAAATACGGAAAACAGCCTAGAAACGATGTTATACGCATTGAGTACTACGCTAAGAAAAAGGAATACAAGCGTCTCATCAAGCATAAAAATACCTATTCTACAAAGAAATCAATGAAGACATCTTGCAAGACGGGCATATCTCATGGAAGGACTTCAATAAACTTAAAGATGCCAATAAAGAAGAATCGGTACTTGACCTCTTCGATATAGAGAACTTTTATAAATTCTTTAAAGATCTGTACAAGACCAAAACAGTACCTAACGAATTGGTGAAACTGAATGATGAAAGTGAAATCATCATCGACACTGAAATCCTTAACAGAGATATCGACCAGGAAGAAATGAAGAAAGGCATCAAATGCTTACAAAATGGAAAGGCAGCGGGTATCGACTTAATTCTTAATGAGTTCCTCAAAACATCGACGGACGAAGTTGTGAAACTCATTCAAAAACTCTTTAATGAATGTCTTAAGTTTGGTATATACCCTTGGAACACCACTATCGTTACCCCTCTCCACAAAAAAGGTTGTCCACATGACCCGGATAACTATCGAGCAATCGCCGTGGGCAGCAATTTAGGCAAGTTATTTTCAAATATTTTGCTCAGTCGACTTCTCGAATTCAGAGCTGTACATTGCCCCGAATCACAGAACCAGAGAGGATTTTGCAAGGGGGCACAAACCTCTGATCATATTTTCACACTTAACACCTGTATTGAAAAATATGTAAAAGTCCAACGGAAAAGAATCTACAGCTGTTTTGTAGACTTTCAGAAAGCGTTCGACACGGTATCAAGAGAAGCACTATTGTACAAATTAAATAAGCTTGGTATGCAGGGGCGGTTTTTTGATTGCCTATTGTATTGGAGCTCCAATACATGTACAGAAACTCAAAAGCAAGGCTTAAAATGGTTAAAAAGCTCTCGGCTTGTTTTGACGTTAATGCAGGAACGGAACAGGGCCACCCCTTGAGCCCAGAACTCTTCAAATGCTATATCTACGAACTCTCCCTCCAGATTAACACCCTAACCGGAGTGGAAAGTCCCCAACTCAACAACCAACAGATTACTCACCTGCTTTGGGCGGACGATCTGGTCCTGCTAGCCCTTAACAAGGTCAGTCTTCAGCTAATGATTGACCAACTCCACATATTTTGCACTAACTGGGGATTGATTGTTAACATTAAGAAAACTGCGGTCATCATCTTCAATCCCTCAGGAAGGCAGTTACTCGAGAGTAAAACATTTACCTACGGCAGAAGTATTGTAATCCCCTCGGTCAAAAGCTACTGCTACCTAGGTACTCATTTCACAATATGTGGCAGTATGAAGCTTAACCAAGAGCAGCTCAGGATCAAAGGACTTCGAGCATACTTCTCCCTGAAAAAGACGGTTGATCTCTCCTCAATTTCTAAAGAGGCTGTGCTCAAACTCTTCGATGCCCTTATACTTCCTGTCGTCTCATACGGTAGTCAGGTGTGGCTCCCCTATACCAACATTCTCAGCAACATCTGCCAGAAGAAAACACAGTCTGACAAAGACACACTCAGTCAATTAGCGAACGACAGCATCGAGCGCCTGCATCTCTCGCTGCTAAAATGGACGACTGGGGTCAACAAGAGAACTTCAAATATCCCGATATGGGGAGACACAGGAAGATATCCCCTTGGAATACAACTGAGTAAGCTCTTTCTTGACTTCCACAACAGGCTCGTCCTCCTTGACAGAAAAAACTCACCACAGATTGTTCGCCATGCTTTTGTAGAGCAAAGAAACCTAGAGCTGACCTGGTTCCGAACATCGAGAGCGCTGACCGACGCATTTGACCCAGGAGCAATTAAACGAACAATTGTCTCGAAGAATGTTCCCATGCCGAACAGCCAACTCGTTCGGAGTAGAATGAGAAATTGGTTCCAAGAAAAGTGGGAAAAAGCTCGACTTGAAAACAAAAAGCTTACATTCTACAACGAAGTCAAAAGCAGCTTTGGATTAGAACCATACCTGTCTCTACCCAATCACAAGAAAACCCGATGTACCACATGGCTGAGGACAAGCTCCCACAAACTTAATATCGAGACGGGGCGATATGGCTGGAAAAACTCAAGCATCTTCTACAGAGCTTGCCACTTCTGCTGCAGCTCAGACAGAATCACCATAGACCTCCTGAACGAGCTCCCGTTTAGTGACATCATTAAAGAAGACGAAGTCCATTTGCTTAAAGAATGTCCTGTCTACAAGGAGATCAGACAAAGAAACAGCACAGACCTTCACAACATACTCACAAATAGTCAATTCAGTAAATTATTTCATGAGGATTACATTTTGGAGACCAGAAATTTTGTTTATAATCTATTTCGTGAAAGATTTCCTAAAAGTAAGCTATGACTTAGTATCCTTATTTCGTGCACACTTTCAAACCTTTTAATTATTTATTTAAGATATTATGTTCTTTTTATTGTTTGGTTGTATAACTTTCATTTAACTGATTGGGATCTGACACATGTAATTTTGTAATGATCTTTCTAATTTCTAATTTCTAATTTCTAATTTCTAATTTCTAATTTCTATATACATATTCAGGGATAGACGCTTTGCCAGTCAATTGTAGCCTGTATTTAAGTGTCCATAGATTCAAAAGTATAAAAGATACAGCCATTTCCGACCACAGGTCTTGCAAATAATTGTTTACACTTTAGTTTACATTGTATACAAAAATTATTTGACGTCATAAACACCCCTTGATGACGTCATCAAGTTAACCGTTTTTAAAACTTGATTTTTGACAAAGTAATAACTTTTAAAATTAATTTTAAACCATTAAGGAGTAATTTTATTCAAAATCTGAGGAAATTTTCACCTTAGATAATTGTTCAAGCATTCTGAAAATCTACCGGAAAGTTTTTCTAGCTTGCTCCTTCATAAAGATATTCGTCATTGAAGTTTGTGCTTTTTTGAAGAATTATTTTATAAAAACGTCAATTTTGCGATTTAGTATTCTCTGGTGTTGGGCCATGCCTTGGCTTGTGGAGCTCAGTTCTGCTTCCTATAGGTATAAATTGTGCATTAGGCTAGTTTTAAAGTTGAAAATCGAAAAGTTGCACACGTGGGGACACGCCCAAATTGATAGAAAATTACTAAAATCACTGAAAATTGCTGTTTTCGTCATTTTCTGTCAACTTTAGAGTGCCGTTGTGATTACAGTTCTTCTTGAAATACTTTGAAACTTTGCATGCTTATCAAGCTATATATAAAACAATTACATGCAAAATTTTACAGCGATTCAGTATTGGATGCGCACGCAACGTCCGCTCAAAGTTTGCACGTGCGAAAGGTGAGAATTTTGCTCATTCATGATTTCCAACAAATTCTGCTTTGCCACGACAGTTTAATGTCATTATATATGAATTTAATGCCAACTTGAATGAGTATTAAGTGGCATATTCAGTCAGTGATCGACCGATATGCTTCCCTAAACACAAGGAAATGTTTTTAAAGGAAAAATTTCGAAATCGTTGAAACTTCCTCCTTATTAATGAAGATATCAGTTTATATTTCGACTTTATAAAGTACCCTGACATTATAATCAAAAAGATATGATATTTTACCAAAACCCATAATCATGGGTAGAGTGGACCGCTGCCAGTGTCTCTCTTTCCCAAACAAAAGGAAATGATATTAATTTGATTGACCGTTCTCAAATGCAAAATGATACCGAGAATGAAATCGGTCGCTCGCTTTTCCCATTCATTTACAATTGTATAATAGATTAAGAAGAACTACCCAAAGGCAGCTGTACTCGGCAATGAAGATTCAATAAACTTCAACTTGTTCAATAAGTAATAACTACCACCCTTGTCCCTTACCCCGAAATACTAGGTATCGACCCGAACGCAACCCAAAGAGATTTTTACAGCATCTGATTGATGTAATCAATCGAAACTTATTTATACAATTCGTAAGCCGTGAATGAATGGGAAAAGCGAGCGACCGATTTCATTCTCGGTATCATTTTGCATTTGAGAACGATCAATCAAATTAATATCATTTCCTTTTGTTTGGGAAAGAGAGACACTGGCAGCGGTCCACTCTACCCATGATTATGGGTTTTGGTAAAATCTCCGATATAAAAATTTCAGAACATAATATTCCATGTAAGTCCGACCATTTTGCAGTCTCCTTTACTTTGAAATCAAAGGTGAAGCGCATCAAATCGCAAAAGAGGGAATCTTTAAATTTTAAAAGAGCAAATTGGGATGCACTTAATGCAGACCTTGCAGATATTGACTGGCAGGCAGAGTTCACTGGTAATATGGAAACATCATGGAACAAGTTTAAGGAAGTTTTAGAGCAAAGAACCAATGAACATATTCCAAAGATTAAAATTGGAGGCAGGGCTCAACCTCCTTGGTTTGACGCTGAGTCTCATCAGGCCTGCCTAGAAAAAGAAAGGCTACACAAAAGTTATAAAGAAACCACGGACCCTTCCTGCAAGGCTGAGAAGTACTTTAAGTTCTCTAAAAGCAGAAGCGATTTTAAGAAAATTGCCTCCAATAAGATGGCATCTAGCTTTGAGGACGAGGATGATTCGAATCTAATTACAAAGAAATTCTGGTCCTATGTAAAAGCAACATCTAAGAATACTCGCATACATGAACAAATTCACCTAGAAGATGTACACAAAAGTGATCATTCTGACCAAGCAAACGTATTTAATACCTTTTTTCATCAACAGTTCTCATCGCCTAGTGATTATGATGTACATGTTGATAACACACTCACACAGGATGATATTGATTATGTATCTACCCTTTTCAGTTCGTCTAGGATAGTAGATATTCTCAAGAATTTGAATACTAGAAAAGCTATGGGACCGGATAAAATCCATGGTGAAGTTCTTAAAAAATGTGCCTTTACGTTAGCCCCAGCACTGGAGATTCTTTTCACAAAGTGCTATGTATCCGGCTTCCTACCTTCAAATTGGAAATATGCAATTGTTGTTCCAGTACACAAGAAAGGCTCCAAGAATGACATTAAGAATTATAGGCCAATATCTTTGACTAGCTTAGTTATGAAAGTCATGGAAAGAATTATTCGAGATGAACTTTTGAGTAGATGTTATGGTAAAATTGATCCTCGTCAACATGGTTTCCTGCCTCACAAATCTTGTGCAACTCAGATGGTTGAATTCTGCGATAGCCTATCCCTCTCTCTTAACAAGAACATTAGATCTGATATTGTTTACTTCGATTTTGCCAAAGCATTCGATTCCGTTAACCACGACTTAATACTATACAAGCTAAAATTTTATTATAACATCGATGGAATGCTTCTCCAATTTATGAAAAGTTACCTCTCCGGACGTCAGCAATGTGTAGTTGTTAATGGGGCTATCTCTGCAACCTTACCGGTGTTGTCAGGTGTTCCTCAAGGGTCAATAATCGGACCAACACTTTTTGTTCTTTTCATAAATGATATATATTCTGGACTTTCTCAGGGCACTAATATCCTTTTATACGCTGATGATACTAAAATGTGGAGAGAGATATCCCAAGAGGAAGACCACCATATACTTCAAAGCGATATTAATTATCTCATGACATGGGCAAGAACTAATAAGATGAAGTTTCATCCTGATAAATGTAAGGTCTTAGGTATACTTAAGAGGTGGTCTCCCTTAGATGGCATTTTACCATTTACACGTTACACTTACTCTATGGGCCAAACTCTTCTTGATTATACAGATTCTGAAAAAGATTTAGGCATAATCATGACGTCTAATCTAAATTTTAATAGCCAGGCCGATGCTCTATATGGTAAAGCTAACCAAAAATTTGGCATGCTTAAGAGAAATTGTCATTTTATTAATGATCTGAACAAGAGAAGAGTCTTGTATCTTACTCTTGTACGCTCAATATTCGAACACTGTCCCATCATTTGGCGACCAGCGTCCAGTAGCACTATCAATAGGCTTGAAGGATTGCAGAAAAGGGCCCTCAAATGGATTCGTAATGATTACGGTGTAAGCTATAGTGTAGAGGAAATCTATAATGCCCATTGTAAACAGTTAAATATTCTGCCCCTAAAGTACAGGTTTGATTACCATGATCTCAAGTTCTTTCATTCCCTAGTGCATCAATACCACCCATGCACCACTCTGCCTCAGTACCTTACTTTCTTCTCCGGGTCAAGCCGACTGAGAAGCTCACATCTTGATCACTTATCAGTAATATCTTCAATTCCACCTGGCTCAGCTATATCTAAATCTTACTTTTATCGAGCTCATCTCACTTGGAACCGACTTCCTCTTTCCCTTCGAGAGATTATCAGACCTGGTGTGTTTAAAACAGAACTTATTAAACACATCTGGAAGGAACATGTTTGTACTGCATCTGTAGATATTGACCCTAGTTCAGATCCTGACAATTCTTTTTCTCCTGACTACGGGTAGTGTATTTCTCTATTATTTTTGTTTTTATTTTTTTTGAGGTACTCATCACGCATTTTTGCTTTATTCGGATACAATTTTGATTTAGTCTTTTATATTCAATTATTTAAATTTTATCGTTAAAACTTCATTCCTTGGAAATATTACAAATCAGCCAATTGTAATTGAGAATTTTTGGGTTGTGGCAATTATTCTTAAAAACCTAGAAATGCCTCCTAAGTTCACAGCTCAGATTATTTGCCCATTTTTCTCCTTCTGCACTTGGGGCCCAATGTAATTGCTCGACTTTTCATCAGGTCTCTCGAGGCCTTTTGTTTGGTTATTTGGGTGTATTGGTGTCCCCTGATTGTTATCATCGCTGAACACTTGTCAAGGCATTTTTTGGTTTCTCTAGTCCATTTTTAGAAATTCTATACAACATTGATATTGTAATAAATTCTGATGATAATAATTGAAAGATTTCAATAAAAAAATCAGCTTTAGAGATCAAGCCATCTTTGACTTCTTCGTCAGCAGATTTCTTCTCATCCAAATCCTCCTCTTCAAGGTATTCTTTCAGCGCTTCACAATCACTGGCATCAACACTGCGCAGATACGTTGCTACCACTCGAAGTGTATCCCAGAGCAACTTAGAACCCTTGGATACAGAGAGTCTGGGCCCTGGGGCTCATGTCCTTCAGTAGAACTTTGTAGCTATCTATATCAGAGGTTCGTGGTAATACAGCTAGCTGTCCTTGCTGCAGTCACTGTGAGAAGCAAAGCCACCAAAGAGATTGTAGACATTTTTCCTGCTTTATTTTTTATACCGTTATACTTATAAAAACAAGATTGTAATTAAGACAAGATTGGAATTACTACACGATTAGACATATTATTGTCTTATTATAGATCATATATAGATATATATATAATATATACGATTATAATATATATAATAGAT